CTCTAGATCTAGAATCCAAATAGATAAAATAAATTTTATAAGTTTAAGCCCCAAAAAATGTATTGTATACAATTCATAGTGTACGTAGATCTAAATCAAATTTGAATGAAATAGTTCATTTCTTTTTATTCCAAACACGGCAGATGACGTCATTAGTTAATGTTTAAACATTAGCGACGTCACTGTTTTATGCGTTCTTTTTCACAACTATAAACACTTTTCCTGTTGCATAATTAAAAATGTTTTTCAACATTCAAATACGCCTTTTTTATTTTTCTTCTTTAAATAAAATTGTGGTAATACATTTAAAACATCTACCATATTATTTTCAACAAAAGTCCGTATCAAGTTCTCCATTATATTGCTGCAGATTCTGATGTGATATTTCAAATTAATTTTTGTAACCCAAATTAGCCAGTTCCATAGCTAAACAAAGATTTCTATAAAACAGTTAAGGCCTGAAATAGTTTAAAAGATAATTTCATTTTTGGAATAGATTCTGTAGATGATAGAGGCTAAATCTAGAATCTAAATCTTAACGTCTTGTTTTTGTGTAGATTTAGATCTAGTCTAGAATCTAGAGTCTCTAGATTGAGAATCCAAATAGATAAAATAAATTTTATAAGTTTAGGCCCCAAAAAATGTATTGTATACAATTCATAGTGTACGTAGATCTAAATCAAATTTGAATGAAATAGTTCATTTCTTTTTATTCTAAACACGGCAGATGACGTCATTAGTTAAGTTTTAAACATTAGTGACGTCACTGTTTTATGCGTTCTTTTTCACAACTATAAACACTTTTCCTGTTGCATAATTAAAAATGTTTTTCAACATTCGAATACGTCTTTTTTATTTTTCTTCTTTAAATAAAATTGTGGTAATACATTTAAAACATCTACCATATTATATTCAATAAAAGTCCGTATCAAGTTCTCCATATATCGCTGCCGATTCTGATGTGATATCCGGCGAAAATATTTTGCGGACTGGATCAAGATGACTGGGTGAAGTTGACTGGGTCAAGTTGACTGGATCAAGATGACTGGGTGAAGTTGACTGGGTGAAGTTGACTGGGTCAAGTTGACTGGGTGAAGTTGACTGGGTGAAGTTGACTGGGTGAAGTTGACTGGGTCAAGTTGACTGGGTCAAGTTGACTGGGTGAAGTTGACTGGGTGAAGTTGACTGGGTGAAGTTGACTGGGTGAAGTTGACTGGGTGAAGTTGACTGGGTCAAGTTGACTGGGTCAAGTTGACTGGGTCAAGTTGACTGGGTGAAGTTGACTGGGTCAAGTTGACTGGGTGAAGTTGACTGGGTCAAGTTGACTGGGTGAAGTTGACTGGGTCAAGTTGACTGGGTCAAGTTGACTGGGTGAAGTTGACTGGGTCAAGTTGACTGGGTGAAGTTGACTGGGTCAAGTTGACTGGGTGAAGTTGACTGGGTCAAGTTGACTGGGTGAAGTTGACTGGGTCAAGTTGACTGGGTGAAGTTGACTGGGTCAAGTTGACTGGGTGAAGTTGACTGGGTGAAGTTGACTGGGTCAAGTTGACTGGGTGAAGTTGACTGGGTCAAGTTGACTGGGTGAAGTTGACTGGGTCAAGTTGACTGGGTGAAGTTGACTGGGTGAAGTTGACTGGGTCAAGTTGACTGGGTGAAGATGACTGGGTCAAGTTGACTGGGTGAAGTTGACTGGGTCAAGTTGACTGGGTGAAGTTGACTGGGTCAAGTTGACTGGGTCAAGTTGACTGGGTGAAGTTGACTGGGTCAAGTTGACTGGGTCAAGTTGACTGGGTGAAGTTGACTGGGTCAAGTTGACTGGGTCAAGTTGACTGGGTCAAGTTGACTGGGTGAAGTTGATTGGGTGAAGTTGATTGGGTCAAGTTGACTGGGTCAAGTTGACTGGGTCAAGTTGACTGGGCAATGAAGCTTAAGTCGACTAGTCTACAGGCCATGTTGGCCAACTTTACATGGGCTTAAGGTCAAGGTCGAGGGGTCCAAACTTTACATGGTCTTAAGGTCAAGGTCGAGGGGTCCAAACTTTACATGGTCTTAAGGTCAAGGTCGAGGGGTCCAAACTTTACATGGTCTTAAGGTCAAGGTCGAGGGGTCCAAACTTTACATGGTCTTAAGGTCAAGGTCGAGGGGTCCAAACTTTACATGGTCTTAAGGTCAAGGTCGAGGGGTCCAAACTTTACATGGTCTTAAGGTCAAGGTCGAGGGGTCCAAACTTTACATGGTCTTAAGGTCAAGGTCGAGGGGTCCAAACTTTACATGGTCTTAAGGTCAAGGTCGAGGGGTCCAAACTTTACATGGTCTTAAGGTCAAGGTCGAGGGGTCCAAACTTTACATGGTCTTAAGGTCAAGGTCGAGGGGTCCAAACTTTACATGGTCTTAAGGTCAAGGTCGAGGGGTCCAAACTTTACATGGTCTTAAGGTCAAGGTCGAGGGGTCCAAACTTTACATGGTCTTAAGGTCAAGGTCGAGGGGTCCAAACTTTACATGGTCTTAAGGTCAAGGTCGAGGGGTCCAAACTTTACATGGTCTTAAGGTCAAGGTCGAGGGGTCCAAACTTTACATGGTCTTTAGGTCAAGGTCGAGGGGTCCAAACTTTACATGGGCTTAAGGTCAAGGTCGAGGGGTCCAAACTTTACATGGGCTTAAGGTCAAGGTCGAGGGGTCCAAACTTTACATGGTCTTAAGGTCAAGGTCGAGGGGTCCAAACTTTACATGGGCTTAAGGTCAAGGTCGAGGGGTCCAAACTTTACATGGGCTTAAGGTCAAGGTCGAGGGGTCCAAACTTTACATGGGCTTAAGGTCAAGGTCGAGGGGTCCAAACTTTACATGGTCTTAAGGTCAAGGTCGAGGGGTCCAAACTTTACATGGGCTTAAGGTCGAGGGGTCCAAACTTTACATGGGCTTAAGGTCGAGGGGTCCAAACTTTACATGGGCTTAAGGTCGAGGGGTCCAAACTTTACATGGGCTTAAGGTCGAGGGGTCCAAACTTTACATGGGCTTAAGGTCGAGGGGTCCAAACTTTACATGGGCTTAAATATGCTTGGCTAAAAATCTATCGTTTAATCATCCAAAAAGCGAAACTGTTCTGGGATAAACGCTATCGAAAATCACATCGAAAGAATGAGCAGCCTCTAACGTTGGATCGAAAGAATGAGATTCCTCGAAAACGGCACCCAAATGCGACAGAGGTGTAGAACCACCTGTCTCTATTCGCCCACGCCTTTAGACCGTGGACTCCTCATTAGGCACCGATACACCCATCTGATAAAATAAAGCACACTCTGACCGCAGGTTCAAGATTACAACACTTTATTTCTTCGTGAATAATCACAGTTCAGATAATTAGGTTAATGTCAACAAACTTCCACTGTCACAGGTCCACACACTGTATCACTCCGTCACTCACGATCTACTAACACTTGTCTCTGCGTTCAATCAATTCTCTATTTCTCGGCCTTTCTGCCTCCGATCGTTCCATCCTCGTTTCTGCCTTTCAATCTTTTCAACTCCGTTTCTGCGCTCTCATACCCAAATGTAATGCTGCTTATATACACACACAGATGTACATCCGGTGTTCTCAACAATGTCAATCAATGTGAAATTATTCTAATTAGGTACCACCAGTTGCATAATCTCTATTATTAGCTTGTCCATTTATATGTATATATATATACAGCTGTATAGATTTATATATGTCTGAAGAGACGGATTAGACAGATAATCAGTATTATTTATTTTTATTTCGCTAAACACATTTAAAATAAACCGGGAGTGATCTCCCCATAATCTTTCTCGAATATTCTTATTTAACGCTACGGGGGATGGCAACATGGGATATAGACATGATTTTTTATCCATTTTTAATTACTTAACTTTTTAAAATAGAATAGAATCTCGTAGAAAAAGAATAGCGCACCTATTTTTCAAAAGCCTACAACTTGAGTAATATTTCATATAGATAAATTAAATTTCACAAGAAAGTAAAAGATCTAAATTCCCCACATTCCTTAAAATTTTGAGTAATTTCCGTTGACCGGAAGTAGTAATTTACGCAACTTCCGATATCTCAAAAAAACTAAAATGGATTTATAAAGTACTAATAGTCTGCACTATTATACATATATTGTTTGTCATTCACTCGGTGCGCGATTCTTTTTTTTTTCTACGTGATTCTATTCTATTTTAAAAAGTTTAAGTAATTAAAATTGAATTAAAATCCTGTCTAAATCCCGAGTTGCCATCCCCCGTATTGTTATGTAAGAATATTCGAGAAAGTTCACGGGAGATAGCACCCGCTTTTTAAAAATGTTTCTGTCACTGAATACATTTTTACTTTCTCGAATATACGAAGTATAGAGAAAGTCTTGTAACAAATCTCGACGTTTTACACCTCACTGATACGGAAAAACATAATTTTGCAATCTTGTCCGTATGTCTGTGTCTGTCTGTCTGTGTGTCTGTCCGTGTGTAAACACGATAACTTGAGTACCGTTACAGCTAGGTTGATGAAATTTTATATATAAGTATTTTATCAAAATCGTAGATCTGTATCAACTTTTGAGCGATTTCCGATAACCGGAAGTGGTACTTTTCCTACTTTGAATTTTTCAAAAGCCTATAACTTGAGTACTGTTTCAGATAGATAAACGAAATTCCACATGTAAGTAAAAGATCTAATTCTCTACCTTCTATTAAATTTTGAGTAATTTCCGTTGACTGGAAGTAGTAATTTACGCTACTTCCGATTTCTCAAAAAAACTAATGTAAATTTTTTAAGTACTAATAATATTGCGCACTATTATGCGCTTTTTTATTTGGCGTTCACTTGGTGTGCAATTAATTTGTCTACGAGATTCTGTTCTATTTTTAAAACTTTAAGTATTTAAAATGGATTAAAAATCATGTCTATAGCCCGAGTTCCCATCCCCTGTTATTTTATATAAGAATATTCGAGAAAGTTTAGGGGAGATCACCCCCGGTTTATTTTAAATGTTGCTATCACTGAGGACATTTACAAAGCAACGTTTCCAACAGAACAACTCGCGGTAAGTTTTGGCAAATTTCGAACTCATGCTGACGTAGATGATAAAGTTGGCTGAGGCGCTAATTTGGTACAAGATGCCCTTTACACATTCCATGATAACAAGCTCGTCTTGAGTAAACATGTCAGCAAGAATAAGAGAGACGGGGTCAAGCACCGTTGTTGGGACCAAGACTAGAATAAAAATAATGCACACTACCAGCAACATTTTCACCATTTTTGTTTCTTTCACCTTTTTAGATGTCGACATTTTTTTCAGATTTTTTGACGCCATTGACATCTTAATGATGATCATACATGTGGATAACAGAACCACGGCCAAAGGTACCGTTCCTATTAGATTGTTTCTTATATAGGAGCTGTAGACAATAATATTGTTCCTATTGTTGTAGAAGAATTCGGTAAATCTAAATTGAGCGTAGGTCGTGTTGGTGAACGGAATGACCAGCCACTCGAGGCTAATGATAAAGTTGTCTGGTGCTGTAAGAAGGATCGTGTAGGCGTACAGAAAGACCAGGATACATTTCATACGTTTGGTGGTGAGCAGTCTAGACACGTGAAAAGGGAACCAAACCGCTATGAATCTCTCAATCGAGATGAGCGCAACTTGAAGTATGCTGAGAGCTAGGGAGATCTGGTTGATGTTGCTGAGGTAGGTGGCGTAGTACGAGTAGAGCGAGTAGGCAGCCACGGGGTCCCACAGAGCCACGATGTTGTAGACACGACACAGACATTGGGTGATTGAAAACACCAGATCGGTGAAGGATAGTGACGTCAGCACAATGTTGGTCGTGTCGCTGAAGCCATGGTGCCAGAGGATGATGATGTTGAGTGTGTTGCCCACCACACCCAGGAAACACAGGAGGTGCAACAGGATGTAGTTTAGATAGAAGTTAACAGCAACAGCTATTTGACTGTATGCCACCAGCTTTGGGTCTGAACTCAGGACTTCTGTATGGTTGCTGCTGGTCAAATTGTTATAGCAAGCACAGCTATTGGTTACAGCAGACTCAATCATTTTGGACGTCTGTTGTTAGTTAGATGGTAGTGTGCCTGTAGTTAGATGTAGTGTGCCTGTAGTTAGATGTAGTGTGCTGGTAGTTAGATGGTAGTGTGCTGGTAGTTAGATGTAGTGTGCTGGTAGTTAGATGGTAGTGTGCTGGTAGTTAGATGGTAGTGTGCTGGTAGTTAGATGGTAGTGTGCTGGTAGTTAGATGTAGTGTGCTTGTAGTTAGATGTAGTGTGCTGGTAGTTAGATGTAGTGTGCTGGTAGTTAGATGGTAGTTTGCTGGTAGTTAGATGGTAGTGTGCTGGTAGTTAGATGTAGTGTGCTGGTAGTTAGATGGTAGTGTGCTTGTAGTTAGATGGTAGTGAGCTGGTAGTTAGATGTAGTATGCTGGTAGTTAGATGTAGTGTGCTGGTAGTCAGATGTAGTGTGCTGGTAGTTAGATGTAGTGTGCTGGTAGTTAGATGGTAGTGTGCTGGTAGTTAGATGGTAGTGTGCTGGTAGTTAGATGGTAGTGTGCTGGTAGTTAGATGGTAGTGTGCTGGTAGTTAGATGGTAGTGTGCTGGTAGTTAGATGGTAGTGTGCTGGTAGTTAGATGTAGTGTGCTGGTAGTTAGATGGTAGTGTGCCTGTAGTTAGATGTAGTGTGCTTGTAGTTAGATGGTAGTGTGCCTGTAGTTAGATGCAGTGTGCTGGTAGTTATATGTAGTGTGCTGGTAGTTAGATGGTAGTGTGCTGGTAGTTAGATGTAGTGTGCTGGTAGTTAGATGGTAGTGTGCTGGTAGTTAGATGGTAGTGTGCTGGTAGTTAGATGTAGTGTGCTGGTAGTTAGATGGTAGTGTTCTGGTAGTTAGATGGTAGTGTGCTGGTAGTTAGATGGTAGTGTGCTGGTAGTTAGATGGTAGTGTGCTGGTAGTTAGATGGTAGTGTGCTGGTAGTTAGATGGTAGTGTGCTGGTAGTTAGATGGTAGTGTGCTGGTAGTTAGATGGTAGTGTGCTGGTAGTTAGATGGTAGTGTGCTGGTAGTTAGATGGTAGTGTGCTGGTAGTTAGATGGTAGTGTGCTGGTAGTTAGATGGTAGTGTGCTGGTAGTTAGATGGTAGTGTGCTGGTAGTTAGATGGTAGTGTGCTGGTAGTTAGATGGTAGTGTGCTGGTAGTTAGATGGTAGTGTGCTGGTGAAGGTTGTGTGATGGCACGTTGTCTGCTAGGTAATTAAATGTGCAGCTATCTGTGATTGCAACCGATCCTTGCTACGATACAAAGTGTGGAGTTGCTACGATACAAAGTGTGGAGTTGTTACGATACAAAGTGTGGAGTCGCTACGATACAAAGTGTGGAGTTCAGCTCATCATAATCTCTCAGATCTCTTTAGCGTTCCATTGTAACATCGTTGTGCTCCTGTCAGTTTCTGAAATCAAAAAGCACAGGCCGTAGTGGAGATTTTATAGCATTAGTAGTAGGATTTGGGGAATTAATCTGGGATTTGGGGAATTAATCTGGGATTTGCGTGTGGGAACTAATTCCTGATGGCGAATGGTAATATACAAAAAAAAAAAAATATTAAGACCTGGATAAATGGAATATGTCAGGAAAGTATAGCATTACATAGAGCTGAACACAAAGAAACAGATATAACAGAAAAATATAAGAAAGAACTAAAAGATATAATAGTAAAAGATACCTAAATATGCTTAGAAATTTTTGTATTTGAAACATTTTCTTTACCCAAACTAGATTTTCATCGCAAATATTGCCGGCAGTGTCATCATATTTTGGTTCGATATTTTTAAATCGATCTGCCAGTAAAAGGTAAGAGCCGAATTATAAGCATTGACCAAGCACATTGTTAAGTTCTTGTCGAAGCTATCACAAGGTTGTTGACATTTTCAGCGAATCAATTCTGCTGTAAGCTACAATTATCTATTTGGAAGTACCAGCCTAGTGGGATATTAAAAAAGATCTATATATCTTCAAAATAGAGAAATACTACATGTTCATACTTCTGCTAAACAAATATTTTCTATACATCTGATATATAGAGAAATACTAAACAAAGATTTTCTTTACATCTGCTATATAGAGAAATACTAAACAAAGATTTTCTATACATCTCCTATATAGAGAAATACTTAAAGATTTTCTATACATCTGCTATATAGAGAAATACTAAACAAAGATTTTCTATACATCTCCTATATAGAGAAATCAAGATAAAAATGTTCTATTAATCAGCTAGGTAGAGAGGGAAAGAACAAAGACGATATTTAGTTTAAATACAGTGTTATAAAAAAACAAAGGCGTTTCATACATGATCAAATGTTTCAAGTGTTTCTTACTTTTTAGACTTCTCTTTTACCCCTGTCAGCTAATCAAAGGAAATGCAGACTAGCAAAAAACAAGACTACAAATATCTTGTAATATTGCCACACACATCAGGAGCTCGTCTTACCGACCATAGAGATCTTTACATATATATATATAAAAACACGAACTCCGTTTTTAAAGCGAGATTTAAATGAATAAAATAAAAACCATTTTGATCAAATTTTTCTAAAAATGCATTGATGTACGTGTGGAATATATAAACGAGCATAAAACAGCACATGATTTTTGCAAATGATTTTTGCAAATGATTTTTGCAAATGATTTTAGTAAATGATTTGTGCAAATGATTTTTGCAAATGATTTTTGCACATGATTTTTGCAAATGATTTTTGCAAATGATTTTTGCAAATGATTTTCGCAAATGATTTTAGTAAATGATTTTAGTAAATGATTTTTGCAAATGATTTTAGTAAATGATTTTTGCAAATGATTTTAGTAAATGATTTTTAACAACTGAATGTTTATAAACGCTCATAGAACTATAACCCTTTCACTCGGTGACTCGAAACAGAATAACTTGAATTCCATGTGTTTGATTTGAATTGTAATTCTTGTCATGTGTAACGTTGATGTTTGATTTCAATTGTAATTCTTGTCATGTGAACCGTTGATGTTTGATTTGAATTGTAATTCTTGTCATGTGAAACGTTGATGTTTGATTTGAATTGTAATTCTTGTCATGTGAAACGTTGATGTTTGATTTGAATTGTAATTTTTGTCATGTGAACCGTTGATGTTTGATTTGAATTGTAATTCTTGTCATGTGAAACGTTGATGTTTGATTTGAATTGTAATTCTTGTCATGTGAAACGTTGATGTTTGATTTGAATTGTAATTCTTGTCATGTGAAACGTCGATGTTTGATTTGAATTGTAATTCTTGTCATGTGAACCGTTGATGTTTGATTTGAATTGTAATTCTTGTCATGTGAACCGTTGATGTTTGATTTGAATTTTAATTCTTGTCATGTGAAACGTTGATGTTTGATTTGAATTGTAATTCTTGTCATGTGAAACGTTGATGTTTGATTTGAATTGTAATTCTTGTCATGTGAACAGTTGATGTTTGATTTCGATGAGTTTGGATATTTACTCTAACACCTGAACAATTTTTCATAAATCTGGCTTGAATGTGTATTTCGAGCACGGTTAAATAAACATTTTAATTTATATTTAATATGTTAGTTTTGAAAGTGTGTAGAATTTATTGGACTTATGTTGCTTCCTCAACCTCTTTGTTTTTGCTTGATCGAATCACATGACTCATTCAGTTCTATTGTTAAATACTTCAATAGTTTCAGTTCTAATGAATATGTCTCATCGAATTCTTCTAGCATCTAGCCAGCCATATATTTATGTCTTCGATTATTTTTTATCGATTGTCCCCGTGACATTCGAGGCTTTAATTTATGAGTAGAGAACCACCAATAGAGGGTGTCGCTGTTGTAATTGTAGATCAGGACACTAACATCAGATCTTTTGTGCGGTTGTATAGATAAATGTCAGCCTAGGATACAATCTTGCTGGCCAGATAAATGTCAGCTGAAAGTTTGTTTTCATCAATAGTTCACATCAATAGCGAAAGATGTCTCAGTTTTTTGTTGTTGTTTCATTACTTTCTCGAATATACGAAGTATAGAGAAAGTATTGTAATCGTGCAAAAAAAAAATCGAGATTTTTACAAATCTCGACGTTTTACACCTCACTGATACGGAAAAACATAATTTTGCAATCTTGTCCGTATGTCTGTGTGTGTGTCTGTGTGTCTGTGTGTCTGTGTGTCCGTGTGTAAACACGATTACTTGAGTACCGTTACAGCTAGGTTGATGAAATTTCATATATAAGTATTTTATCAAAATCGTAGATCCGTATCAACTTTTGAGCGATTTTCGATAACCGGAAGTGGTACTTTTCCTACTTTGAATTTTTCAAAAGCCTATAACTTGAGTACTATTTCAGATAGATACATGAAATTTCACATGTAAGTAAATGATCTAATTCTCTACCTTCTGTTAAATTTTGAGTAATTTCCGTTGACTGGAAGTAGTAATTTACGCTACTTTCGATTTCTCAAAAAACTAATGTAAATTTTAGAAGTACTTATAATATTGCGCACTATTATGCGCTTTTTTATTTGGCGTTCACTTGGTGTGCAATTAATTTGTCTACGAGATTCTATTCTATTTTTAAAACTTTAAGTATTTAAAATGGATTAAAAATCATGTCTATAGCCCGAGTTCCCATCCCCTGTTATTTTATATAAGAATATTCGAGAAAGTTTAGGGGAGATCACTCCCGGTTTATTTTTAACTTGTAATTTAAGTCGGTTTGCCTTCAAACTTATATACCTAGAACGTTATACGATTGTTGTATGAGTAAACTGAAAGTTAGCTCATTTAACCAGTTTAACATATTGTCCTACATATATATATATATATATATATATATATATATATATATATATATATATATATATATGCAAACTTCAGTCATAGAGTTGGGGAAACAACATCTACTTTTATATAGATGACATACAAGTAAATCGAAATAACACCGCAATGGAATGCCTGGATAGAGTCCAGATCGAAGGGCTTTGAATTATTACTGACGCGTACAAAACGACAGCGAGTACAGACTGTGAAATAATTGCGAACGCCGAACCGCTGAAGATCAGAAAGGACAAGGGCAGAACAGTTTACAAGGCTAGATAAGGGCAGAACAGTTTACAAGACTAGATAAGGGCAGAACAGTTTACAAGACTAGATAAGGGCAGAACAGTTTACAAGGCTAGATAAGGGCAGAACAGTTTACAAGGCTAGATAAGGGCAGAACAGTTTACAAGGCTAGATAAGGGCAGAACAGTTTACAAGACTAGATAAGGGCAGAACAGTTTACAAGGCTAGATAAGGGCAGAACAGTTTACAAGACTAGATAAGGGCAGAACAGTTTACAAGGCTAGATAAGGGCAGAACAGTTTACAAGGCTAGATAAGGGCAGAACAGGTTACAAGGCTAGATAAGGGCAGAACAGTTTACAAGACTAGATAAGGGCAGAACAGTTTACAAGGCTAGATAAGGGCAGAACAGTTTACAAGGTTAGATAAGGGCAGAACAGTTTACAAGGCTAGATAAGGGCAGAACAGTTTACAAGGCTAGATAAGGGCAGAACAGTTTACAAGGCTAGATAAGGGCAGAACAGTTTACAAGGCTAGATAAGGGGGAACTCACACACTAGGCACTGGCTGAGGGTGGGCCTCAAAAGGCAGAGTTTTGCCGGCGCACCGTAGGTCAAGTTCGGAATGCTGGGTTAGGGTTAGGGCTAGGGCTAGGGCTAGGGCTAGGGCTAGGGTTAGGGTTAGGGTTAGGGTTAGGGTTAGGGCTAGGGATAGGGTTAGGGTTAGGGTTAGGGCTAGGGTTAGGGTTAGGGCTAGGGCTAGGGTTAGGGTTAGGGTTAGGGTTAGGGTTAGGGTTAGGGTTAGGGTTAGGGTTAGGGTTAGGGTTAACCGTGCGAGGCTTCACACGATCCTAGAGAGACCGCCCAGAATTGCCAGAATGTCCTGATCTGGGCCTCGAAATGCCAGGCGGGCTGGAGAACTGGGGGGAGGGGATGTAGGTGATTTACTAAAAGCCGCTGAAGCGGCGTCTTAGCGGTACCCCACCTTATGGATACCAGCGTATACCGATGGTGCAGCCTCCAAAGGTGGGGGTGTGGTACGGACCCTATATAGAATTTTTGAACGGGTCCACCTGTCTAAGCGACCCATGCAGCGGCACCAACTATGCAGCGGAAATGATTGTCACACTTAAGAAAGTTGAAGAACTTTTACGTAGTGGGGATGGCGTAGCTATCGGAGCGGGGATTTTTACTGATTCCATATTTGCAGGCAATGGAAAGCTATGAGACGGACGAGACCGGTGTATTGTCGATGCTTTACAGTGCCGCAAGTGTAGCGAAAGTCCTGGCTAGGAAAATGAAAAGGTTGACTCCCTTGCGAACAAAGGGGCAAAAAGAAATACCACAACAACTCCCACAGTGCAGCTAGACGAAGCTTTCAAACGGGAATGGGAAAAGGAGTGGACAGAAGGATCTAAAGCCCGGATTGTCTTCAAGCACATGAAGAAACCTTCAAAGGCCGATCTATGGTGGAGGATGCACAGATGGCAACAGTCTATCATAACTCAGCACAGAAAAAGGCACTGCCCATTCACATCATACCTGTATGGCCAATGCCGACACTGTGGCAATGCCGTAGAGTCAGTAGAGCACGTCATCTTTGGATCAGCAACGGTAAGAGCACACAAATGGCATCTTAGATGTGGTTAAGTACTTGTACAAGGATCTGGGTTCAATGAAAGACGTTTGCACCTACGTAAGAGAAGATTGCGTCCTCTCTTACTACCGCGCGGCGGACCGTGTGGAAAGCTCTTGAAACAGGCCGAAGATGAGTACCAATCAAAACCACCCTGAAAACCCCTGCTGATAAGCCAGTAAGTACAAGGGAGGATGACCGATACCAAAGCCATAAGAACGGCCACGAGGATGACCGATACCAAAGCCATAAGAACGGCCACGAGGTAATAGGCGGGAGAAGGGTCGAAAGCCCAAGTAGGATGACAAAGCCATAACGATGGCAGCTCGAGGGGCAAGCCACCCCTCCCCCCACTTGTGTTATAGACGCGCTAGCCTTGTCACCCGGTAGCCCGTGTTCTGCTGGTACAGAAAGGTGCCCATAGCTAGGATAAACAATATTGCACGTCATTCAAACAAGATGAAACTAGGCTATAAAATACTACTGGGTAAACTTTAACATAGCTCATTTCTGCAGTCTTGTGCCCCAAGTTCATTAGGAAGTATTAAAGTGAACACGAGATTGTCATCTATCTTGAGTTCTCACAGGTCATAATCTTTTAAATTATTGTCTGTAGGTTTTGTGTGTTTTTATTGGCGTAGAAGCCACTTAAACGAGAAGTCTCTTAGACTTTTTTCTCAAGTGTGTTAGGAAACGGAAACTTTTAGGCTTTGAGACTAATAATCTTACCAGTTTTGTAAAGAAATTCCCCTGGAATTACCATCTCAACTCTTACTGTTATATCGGCCAATAGTCACAAGCTTACCAGTTTTGTAAAGAGATTCCACTGGAATTACCATCTCAACTCTTACTGTTATATCGGCCAAGTCTCAAATACAAGGGGCTTGAGGTGAGATCATTCACGTATTTTTTTCTCAAAAAAAGTATGTATATATATATATATATATATATCGCTAAAAAGCGTCTGTAAAATCATCATTATTATCTTTTCCTTTTTGTTCCCAAGACACACGAGGCAACACGTCTTTAAACTGGGGTAGAATCTGTTCCTAGAACTTTTGCTATTAAGATCGGTGCCTGCCAAGAGGAGAGGAATCGGTTCTGTTGAAGCATTGTTGGCCATCGATCATATTGAAGCATTGTTGGCCATCGATCCTGTTGAAGCATTGTTGGCCATCGATTCTTCTTGGAGAGGTTCCTGTACATTTGCCTAAGTGCCCTCCATGTCCCGTTTTCTTAGGTCAACAATATAATTGTAAAAACAAATCAAGATGGCGCCATTTATAAATTCATATTACAATAAACCCAAGAGGAAATTAAATTAAGTGAAAATGTAAACGCCTAGTTTGGCTTATTGCAAGTCAATTTCTAGTTTAGGTTGACGACACTTGAGCTCTGATTAGAGCGATGAAATATTTGATTCAATGGGGAGAGAAATATTTTTTCCATTAGCTTGTCTGGTAGATTTCTCATATTAGATCCATAAACAGAAATTGTCTTTCTTGACTCATCAAACAATGTCTTCCTTGAATCATTAGAAAACGTCTTTCTTGGCTCATGAAACAATGTCTTTCTTGACTCATCAAAATATGTCTTTCTTGACTCATCAAAAAAAGTCTTTCTTCAAACAAACGTCAGAAGTATGGTAGTATGATGCGCTAGCTTATCTCGTAAGAAACACAATCCAACCCTACAATTTACAAACACAATCCAACCCTAAACATTGACAAACACAATCCAACACTATACATCTACAGACATAACACAACCCTACAATTTACAAACACAATCCAACCCTACAATTTACAAACACAATCCAACCCTACACATTTACAAACACAATCCAACCTTACAATTTACAAACACAATCCAACCCTAAACATTTACAAACAAAATCCAACCCTACACATTTACACACACAATAACACTCTAAACATTTACAGACAGATTCCAACTCTACAAATTTAGAAACCCAATCCAATCCTACACATTTAGAAACACAATCCAACCCTACACATTTAGAAACACAATCAACCCTACACATTTAGAAACACAATCCAACCCTACACATTTAGAAACACAATCCAACCCTACACATTTACAAACACAATCCAACCTTACAATTTACAAACACAATCCAACCCTAAACATTTACAAACAAAATCCAACCCTACACATTTACACACACAATAACACTCTAAACATTTACAGACACATTCCAACTCTACAAATTTAGAAACACAATCCAATCCTACCCATTTAGAAACACAATCCAACCCTACACATTTAGAAACACAATCCAACCCTACACATTTAGAAATACAATCCTACTCTACACATTTAGAAACACAATCCAACCCTACACATTTAGAAACACAATCCAACCCTACATATTAAGAAACACAATCAAACCCTACACATTTAATAACACAATCCAAACCTACACATTTAGAAACACAATCCAACCCTACACATTTAATAACACAATCCAACCCTACACATTTAGAAACACAATCCAACCCTACACATTTAGAAACACAAGCCAACCCTACACATTTAGAAATACAATCCTACTCTACACATTTAGAAACACAATCCAACTCTACACATTTAGAAACACAATCCAACCCTACACATTTAGAAACACAATCCAATCCTACACATTTAGAAACACAATCCAACCCTACACATTTAGAAACACAAGCCAACCCTACACATTTAGACGGAGACTGAAACAAAAATAGAAATAATATTTGCGACTGACTTGTGATCTAACCAATAATATTTAATGTTCAAATAATCAAACCAACAATCTGTAAATAAACAAATCATAACGTAGAAGTATCATAACTTATCTTAGAGACTGTCAATTTCAAATACAGAAGTATTACAACTTATCCAAGATATTGTTAACATTAAATACAGAAGTATTACAACTTATCCAAGATATTGTTCAACTTATAGGCCAGCGATATTTATGTTTTTGTGCATGACACTCCATATCTAGTCAGTCGCTCATGACTGGTGTATAGCAAGAGCAAACTTGTTTGCAATACTTATAAATGTCAAAAGTATTGGAATGTAATTTCGTTTTTTCAAATAGAGATTTGCTAAAATAGACTTGTTTCTACTATAGACTAGTTACTACCATAGGCTAATTGCTAATTTAGACTCGATGCAACAATAGAGAAGTTGCTACTATGGGCTGGTTGCTACTATAGACTAGATACAACAATAGAGAATTTGCTACTATAGGCTAGTTGCTACTATAGACTCGATGCAACAATAGAGAAGTTGCTACTATGGGCTGGTTGCTACTATAGACTATATACAACAATAGAGAAGTTGCTACTATAGGCTAGTTGCTACTATAGACTAGATACAACAATAGAGAAGTTGCTACTATAAGCTAGCTGCTACTATAGACTAGATGCAACAATAGAGAAGTAGCTACTATTAGTAGGGAATTGTCTGAGTCCACCATTTCATTCATATCGTTCAATGTTTGTCCTTATAAGCAAATGCACATCTTTTTGGGCACCTGTGCCATCTGACAAGAGCGGGTTGTCGGTATCTTCTCAAAGAGACTGTGAGCGTGAGGCGGCGTGAGACTTTGAGCGTGAGGCTTTGCTTTCGGATTCTGGAATGTGTGGAGAACGTCCTTAAGAGTCAGGTAGATATCGTAATGTGATGTCATCTTGTGGCTGTTCCATGTCAGGTTTGACCTCTTGTCCTCCAGTGCTTTAGGTAAGGTGAGAAACATGGCGGGAGACAAAGCTTCTGCCTCAGGTTTCTTTCTTCTCGTCAAGTAGCCCGTAGAATCAGACATAGTCAGGATCAGTGTCTTGTCCAGATGACCCGAATCTTTCATGCTCTGAAAAAAGCTGTAGAGTTCGTTGTCCAAACTGAGTTTAGATTTCATCTCGGTCAATAAGATATAAGCAAAGACAGGCTGCCTGGGGAAAGCGTGAAAAAATCTTTTAGCAAAGGTCAGCTGGAAGTTCAAGTCCAAATGTCCACCCAGACATATTTTAGTGCCAGTGTCCTTCTTAGAGTTCATAGCCATCATCAGCGGAAATGACGTGTAGTATTCTCTAGTGGACATTTGGGGCAGAACTCCTTTTAAATGTGAATCTTCAGCTAAGACAATAGAGTAACCGTTTTGATGAAACGAGTTCCATATGACTTCCTGTGGGGACACGATACCCTGTGGTCTTCTGCCCATCAAGACTGGACCAATGTTTTCAACATATACATGACTCAGTTGGGTATGATGCATCAAGTCCACACTCCCCAACTCATGCAGTAAAAATCCATGCGTAGATTTAAAATCTAAAATAAAGTTCTCTCTGGACAGACCCCGCAATACCAACAATAGGACATTGACGGGAAATGACTGGTTGTCCCCTTGTGTGGCTAGATCAGGTTCGCTGGCGTCAGTTGGTAACACGGGAATATAGAAGTCCGCTACTTTAAAGAACAAATCTAGCACACACATCAGATGAATGTATTTGCTTTGTTGGTTCAGTTGAGCCGACTGTTTGACAATTTCCGTCCAGGGTCCGAACGCAAATTCCGAAGGTCTGAGACCGAACTTAAATTCCCGGTATTTACAATATGGAGTGAACTCTTCATTGTCGTCATACTCGGGACTGTACCAGGTGACATGGAGTCTGTAGGAGCCGTCAATAGAGTAGGTGACGTTGTACTCACTCCTACAGCGAGCGGGCGAGGCTGGAGGCATTGGCTTGATGTAAGGGAGCTCTACTTCACTTAGATCTGGCAGCTTGCATGCCGAGACAGAGGGCTGTGTGGTTAGCACGGTTACACGTAGATCTGGGAGCACGTTAAAGTTGGGCATCAGCAACAACAGGCCAAAACATAGGAAGGTGACCAATAAAAGAAAGACGGTGGGAAAATTGTCTCGACGAATTGCTCTAAAAATAGATCAAGGTCAGGTTAGAACAGAAAGTATCACATTTATTGGCTACAGTCACATACGAAAGAAACTAACCAGTAGTATACAGACATACATTAGTAGTATATAGACATACACCAGTAGAATACAGATATACATCAGTATTATACAGACAGACATAGACCAGTAGTATACACACATACACCAGTAGTATACAGACATACACCAGTAGTATACAGACATACACCAGTAGTATACAAACATACACTAGTAGAATACAGACATACACCAGTAGTATAAAGACATACACCGGTAGTATACATACATGCACCAGTAGTGTGACATATAACAGTAGTATACAGACATACACCAGTAGTATACACACATACACCAGTAGTATACATACATACACCAGTAGTGTGACATACACCAGTAGTATACAGACATACACCAGTAGTATACAAACATACACCAGTAGTATACAGACATACACCAGTAGTATACACACATACACCAGTAGTATACATACATACACCAGTAGTGTGACATACACCAGTAGTATACAGACATACACCAGTAGTATACAAACATACACCAGTAGTATACAGACATACACCAGTAGTATACACACATACACCAGTAGTATACATACATACACCAGTAGTATACATACATACACCAGTAGTATACATACATACACCAGTAGTATACATACATACACCAGTAGTATACATACATACACCAGTAGTATACAGACATACACCAGTAGTATACAGACATACACCAGTAGTATACAGACATACACCAGTTGTATACAGACATACACCAGTAGTATACAGACATACACCAGTAGTATACAGACATACACCAGTAGTATACATACATACACCAGTTGTATACAGACATACACCAGTAGTATACATACATACACCAGTAGTATGACATACATACACCAGTAGTATGACATACACCAGTAGTATACAGACATACACCAGTAGTATACAGACATACACCAGTAGTATACAGACATACACCAGTAGTATACATACATACACCAGTAGTATGACATACATACACCAGTAGTATGACATACACCAGTAGTATACAGACATACACCAGTAGTATACAGACATACACCAGTAGTATACAGACATACACCAGTAGTATACAGACATACACCAGTAGTATGACATACACCAGTAGTATGACATACACCAGTAGTATACAGACATACACCAGTTGTATACAGACATACACCAGTAGTATACAGACATACACCAGTAGTATACAGACATACACCAGTTGTATACAGACATACACCAGTAGTATACAGACATACACCAGTAGTATACAGACATACACCAGTAGTATACAGACATACACCAGTAGTATACAGACATACACCAGTAGTATGACATACACCAGTAGTATACAGACATACACCAGTAGTATACAGACATACACCAGTAGTATACACACATACACCAGTAGTATACAGACATACACCAGTAGTATACAGACATACACCAGTAGTATACAGACATACACCAGTAGTATACAGACATACACCAGTAGTATACAGACATACACCAGTAGTATGACATACACCAGTAGTATGACATACACCAGTAGTATACAGACATACATTAGTAGTATATAGACATACACCAGTAGAATACAGATATACATCAGTATTATACAGACAGACATAGACCAGTAGTATACAAACATACACTAGTAGTATACAGACATACACCGGTAGTATAAAGACATACACTAGTAGTATACATACATACACCAGTAGTGTGACATACACCAGTAGTATACAGACATACACCAGTAGTATACAAACATACACTAGTAGTATACAGACATACACCAGTAGTATAAAGACATACACCGGTAGTATACATACATGCACCAGTAGTGTGACATATAACAGTAGTATACAGACATACACCAGTAGTATACAAACATACACCAGTAGTATACAGACATACACCAGTAGTATACACACATACACCAGTAGTATACATACATACACCAGTAGTGTGACATACACCAGTAGTATACAGACATACACCAGTAGTATACAAACATACACCAGTAGTATACAGACATACACCAGTAGTATACACACATACACCAGTAGTATACATACATACACCAGTAGTATACATACATACACCAGTAGTATACATACATACACCAGTAGTATACAGACATACACCAGTAGTATACACACATACACCAGTAGTATACATACATACACCAGTAGTATACATACATACACCAGTAGTATACATACATACACCAGTAGTATACATACATACACCAGTAGTATACAGACATACACCAGTAGTATACAGACATACACCAGTAGTATACAGACATACACCAGTTGTATACAGACATACACCAGTAGTATACAGACATACACCAGTAGTATACAGACATACACCAGTAGTATACATACATACACCAGTTGTATACAGACATACACCAGTAGTATACATACATACACAAGTAGTATGACATACAAACACCAGTAGTATGACATACACCAGTAGTATACAGACATACACCAGTAGTATACAGACATACACCAGTAGTATACAGACATACACCAGTAGTATACATACATACACCAGTAGTATGACACACATACACCAGTAGTATGACATGCACCAGTAGTATACAGACATACACCAGTAGTATACAGACATACACCAGTAGTATACAGACATACACCAGTAGTATACAGACATACACCAGTAGTATGACATACACCAGTAGTATGACATACACCAGTAGTATACAGACATACACCAGTTGTATACAGACATACACCAGTAGTATACAGACATACACCAGTAGTATACAGACATACACCAGTTGTATACAGACATACACCAGTAGTATACAGACATACACCAGTAGTATACAGACATACACCAGTAGTATACAGACATACACCAGTAGTATACAGACATACACCAGTAGTATGACATACACCAGTAGTATACAGACATACACCAGTAGTATACAGACATACACCAGTAGTATACACACATACACCAGTAGTATACAGACATACACCAGTAGTATACAGACATACACCAGTAGTATACAGACATACACCAGTAGTATACAGACATACACCAGTAGTATACAGACATACACCAGTAGTATGACATACACCAGTAGTATGACATACACCAGTAGTATACAGACATACACCAGTTGTATACAGACATACACCAGTAGTATACAGACATACACCAGTAGTATACAGACATACACCAGTTGTATACAGACATACACCAGTAGTATACAGACATACACCAGTAGTATACAGACATACACCAGTAGTATACATACATACACCAGTAGTATGACATACACCAGTAGTATGACATACACCAGTAGTATACAGACATACACCAGTAGTATACAGACATACACCAGTAGTATGACATACACCAGTAGTATACAGACATACACCAGTAGTATACAGACATACACCAGTAGTATACAGACATACACCAGTAGTATACAGACATACACCAGTAGTATACAGACATACACCAGTAGTATACAGACATACACCAGTAGTATACAGACATACACCAGTAGTATACAGACATACACCAGTAGTATACAGACATACACCAGTAGTATACAGACATACACCAGTAGTATACAGACATACACCAGTAGTATACAGACATACACCAGTAGTATACACACATACACCAGTAGTATACAGACATACACCAGTAGTATACAGACATACACCAGTAGTATACAGACATACACCAGTAGTATACAGACATACACCAGTAGTATACAGACATACACCAGTAGTATGACATACACCAGTAGTATGACATACACCAGTAGTATACAGACATACACCAGTTGTATACAGACATACACCAGTAGTATACAGACATACACCAGTAGTATACATACATACACCAGTTGTATACAGACATACACCAGTAGTATGACATACACCAGTAGTATACAGACATACACCAGTAGTATACAGACATACACCAGTAGTATGACATACACCAGTAGTATACAGACATACACCAGTAGTATACAGACATACACCAGTAGTATACAGACATACACCAGTAGTATACATACATACACCAGTAGTATGACATACACCAGTAGTATGACATACACCAGTAGTATACAGACATACACCAGTAGTATACAGACATACACCAGTAGTATGACATACACCAGTAGTATACAGACATACACCAGTAGTATACAGACATACACCAGTAGTATACACACATACACCAGTAGTATACATACATACACCAGTAGTATACATACATACACCAGTAGTATACATACATACACCAGTAGTATACAGACATACACCAGTAGTATACAGACATACACCAGTAGTATACACACATACACCAGTAGTATACAGACATACACCAGTAGTATACAGACATACATTTGTGCATGAATACTACATTAATGTATAGACACCCCATCATGTATTTACAATAAAATAATAATGTATTTTGTATTTTTGTACATATTTAAAATATACATCAAAATGAATTCTAATATCTATAATTGCTTGACATCTTAAATCTACAAGAAATATGTCGTAGATTTAAGATATCAAACACTTTTGTATATTAGAATTGATTCTAAAAATGATTTAACTCAAGATGTAAGATTTAGAACTATATTCTGGTGTCGAGATAATTAATTCTATTGTGTTTTAGGTTTAAAATCCAGTCAACTATAGTCCAGACTTTTTTCTACGGTTTGGGGGGGGGGGGGTGTCAAGGCCCCTGGAAGAAACTCTGCTCTAGTCCAAGGGTCTGCAAACTTTCCAGCCCGAGGGCCGCATTAACTATCAAATATCAATTCGGGGGCCAGTTCCTTCCATGCTTCTCTTCGGGGTGGCGGAGCCCCCTCCACCCCTACTCCCGAAGAACGTCTACCACCACGCCACATCATTTGTTAAGAAATATATACACATTTCAAGTGTCCCCCTACCGTAGAAAAAAGCCTGAAAGAAACACTGTCGGGGGCCGACAACACACAAGAGGTCCATGTTTGTTCTCAAATTGTTCTTCACGTATTTCAGTCTTGAAAATGTTTGTTCACACAGGTATGTTGTTACAAAATTTGAAACGTAATTTGATTCAAAAATTTTAATTTTTGGAAAGTCTTCCTTTGGGGAAAAACTTATATAAACCCATCCCCTCTTGTTTGAACTTGTCTCTAAGGAGGTAATTTGCTTGCAATTCAATGACCTCCAGCTGCAGTTCATCTGGGCAACTGCCCGCATTTGCTTCAAATGGGTTTTGAAACAGTCTCACTTCTTCTGCCTTTGAATCCAAGTCAGAAAACCGCTACTGAAACTGCAACTGGGTGTCTTTGATGATCTCGCATACAAATTACTCAGTTGTTGCTTCAGCCAAGAAGACATTGAACTCCTGAAAGTGCGTCAAATTGTTGGCCTGTACTTGTTCCAAAACATAACACGTTTGTATCTGAACCTATTTATGTGGGTATATAGACCAGAAACTAAATAACTAGCTATTTCTGCAGCAGAGGCCATTTCCTATACCTACTCTTCATCAGACATGAATGGCTGTGGCTTGCCTTTACTTTCCAGGAAGTCACCTATTTCCTTTTTTACTTTCTCGTATATACGAAGTATAGAGAAAGTATTGTAATCGTGCACAAAAATCACTTGAAATTTTAACTATTTTCACCGTATTACACCTCAGTCCTTCATCACATCCGAAGTATAGAGGACTTATTTTAATCGGGCAAAAATTATCAATCCAGATTTATCAAAATTAAAAGGTTTTATGCGTATTCCAGTCTGAAAAACTGGGCTTTGCAATTCTGTCCGTATGTCTGTGTGTCTGTGTGTGTGTGTGTCCGTGTGTAAACACGATAACTTGAGTACCGTTACAGCTAGGTTGATGAAATTTCATATATAAGTATTTTATCAAAATCGTAGATCCGTATCAACTTTTGAGCGATTTCGGATAACCGGAAGTGGTACTTTTTCTACTTTGAATTTTTCAAAAGCCTATAACTTGAGTACTATTTCAGATAGATAAATGAAATTTGATATGTAAGTAAAAGATCTAATTCTCTACCTTCTGTCAAATTTTGAGAATTTTTCGTTGACCGGAAGTACTTATTTACGCTACTTCCGATTTCTCAAAAAACTAATGTAAATTTTAAAAGTACTAATAATATTGCGCACTATTATGCGCTTTTTTTATTCGCGTTCACTTGGTGTGCAATTAATTTGTCTACGAGATTTTATTCTATTTTTAAAACTTTAAGTATTTAAAATGGATTAAAAATCATGTCTATAGCCCGAGTTCCCATCCCCTGTTATTTTATATAAGAATATTCGAGAAAGTTTAGGGGAGATCACTCCCGGTTTATTAACTTAAATACTCTGCTCAGACCTTTCCCACAACTTAGCCATTTAACTGCTGTGTAGTATGGTAAATCTTGCGATTCTGTGTTTGTATCTTTCAGCATGTCTCTGAACTATCTATGGTTGAGCCCATGTGACCTTATAAAATTCACAATCTTCACCACAGGATTCAGTACTTTGATAATGTCCATATATTTAGCAGACAAAGATTTCTGGAGAATAATACAGCGCAGGAACATTGGTTGTAGAATGTTTTTCTCATTCGCTTGTCCAAGCAAGTCTTTATGTATGCCACTCATGTACTTTCCTCCATCAATTGTCAGGCAACTGAGGTTAGTCCATTCCAAGTTATAACCAGAATTATTTAAAAATTCATTGAATTTATCCTCTCTCGTGACATTGCCATACATGTTACCTAGGGGAGCCTGATCTTAAGTTATTCTCATGTCTTTATTCACACCTCTAATGAACACAAGCAGTTCAGAGGTGGAACAGCTGTCCAGCAACTCGTCCATTGCAATTGAAAAATAGCGAAACTTACTTGCATTTTTCACTGTTTGAGCCACAATGTTTTCACCAATGTCTGCAACACGGTGGGCAGATTGTTTTGAATTTTCTTGGCAAAGCTCCTCAGCTGCCGCAAACAAACATTTTTTCTCGTGGACAAAAAGATCTCCGCAGGCCAGATAAGAGGACCTCGCGGGCTGCATCCGACCCGCGGGCTGCATCCGACCCGCGGGCTGCATCCGACCCGCGGGCCGTAGTTTGGAGACCCCCCCTGCTCTAGTCTACATCACGTGGTATATAATATCTAATGAAGGCGCCTAGTTTTACGAGTAGGGTTTGACCGTTATTGCTGACATTGATAGAAAATGTGTTTTTTTTCGTTTGTTGTTGTTAAGAATACTCTTAGGGAGGTTCCTGCGAAAACTGTTTTTCAAATTCGCAATGATGCCCCACGGATGAAGCGATTTTTCTCTTTATACAACACTAAAAAAATAAAAGTCGACTACAATTCAACACGGTTCATCCAAGTACCATGAAACTTTAAGGAGTTGATGAGAATACTCTCGAGAAGGTTTCTGCGGGAAAAAATCATAATTCCTTATGGGCAGTGCCCAGGAGGGTGCAATTTTTGGTCAATACACGTTTTGGCGCCCATTGTTTCAGAGCGTCTATCTGAGCACTTGGTATCTGTTAATCGGTTGTCCTGCATAGGGGGTAAGAAGTACTACTACATTCAGCATTATATCGAATCAGGCAGTGTTAAATTTGGCACTCTAGGCGTTCCCGTGAGCGCAATGGCGCCTACGTTTGTTCTAAACAGTGCGATAGGTAAGTAGGTATAGACATTCACCTAATTGAATCAAGCACATTCGACGACGACCTGGCAGGGTGTTATTTGGCACCCTGGTACGCGGCGCCCCTGCGATAGTGTGATCTGGGCTGCCGAGAGCGCCCCTCTGCGTCCGTGACTCCTGGGCAGTCACGTAGACTCAAGGATCTCATGGGGTAGTGTAGGTAACCCATACCCTGAGTCACGTAGACTAAAGGATCTCATGGGGTAGTGTAGGTAACCCATACCCTGAGTCACGTAGACTAAAGGATCTCATGCGGCAGTACCATACCCCGATAAATATGATCCAAGCGCGGGCATTCTTTACATTTAAATTACTTAGTTTTAGAAAACAAGGACACGCGTCTAAGAATATAGGGTTAGTAACGCAATGATGAAACCCTCTTAAAGTATTGCGTCATACTTTCTTCTATCCCCGCGACAACACGTAGGGACGGGCACGCTAGTATTATGTAACTTGTATTTGAGTATTTGCGTTTCTATTTATTTTCATCAAGCCTAAGGTATAACCCTAAGTCTAGTTTGTTGGCTTTTCAGGAACTCAGTGATCAATATGCTCAAACCCTACTATATTAAAAACGCTCTGGTTAATATGTCATTAAGCCATTGCCGATACAATTTATAAATAAAATTAATTTTTCTTAAACTTCAAGACATAGTTTGGCCATTTTCTTTGACTATAAACAAACCGTTTTACAAACCGAATTAATAATTTGAAAATTATGTTTAGTTACTGAAATTACTAAAATATAAAATACATTTTTTATAACAGTATTTATTTTAATAGGGGCCTAACATTGCACCAGAATTTTAAAATATTTTAAACACCATTGTAAGACTACTCACTGCAGCCTCCATTACCATACATACAAGATCATTTATGATGACTTTAGTTAAAACCTTACTCACAACAGGTCCTTCTTAAAACTAAAATAATATAAAGATACTTGAAAAAGTATGACAATAATAGCACGGCTTACAGCTTCCAAGGAAAAAAGCGTTGCAGTACTCCCACTACTATATACAACACTTTAGAAAGACGCGCCATTGTTGAGTCTTGATGACGGTCCATTCATGTTCAACAGTGCTGCTAGTAGGCGCGTTTAAAATAACTTTTAACTAGAATCCTATTATTCTATTTATATCTGGCTTTTCTGGGGGTATTTCTTATTTACAGCGTCTAGAAAATGACACTTAAATATGTTTAAAAACAATGAAATATTGAACCAGAGGTGGAATTAGAAAGACAAGTTTCCCCCGATCTTTCCTGTGGTCTCAGAAAAAAAGACCGGCACACTATTTGAACACGATTTAATCAATGCGTTATCAATCGTGTATATTTTAAATCATGTAACCATGTTTTCTTAAACTGAGTTATTTAAATGTAAACAAATCGGGCGCTATATTTTTTGGATCATAGTTGTTGGTGCGAGATTTTGTCCAGACTATGGACCAGATGCCACAGTGCATGATGTATAATAGCCACGAGGGTGCGTTAATCAAGTAATTATAGCCAGAATTCACCTCAGAGACCAAGCAAGTATCAATGACGAAGGGTTCCTTGTACGACACTGGTTCGGTTAAATCAGGAATGTTGTATGTCACTTAGTCCCTTGTGTATGATGCTTTTTAATCGGTACTAAATATTTAAAAAATGAAACCGAAATAAAAAAAAAGGAAACTAATTTGAATCCATAACGAAAATGTGTGTGTGAGGCGGTAGCTTATCCGGTAACATTGAACAAAATTATTCGGAACTGGAACTGGAAATTGAACTAAAAGCCGCATAAAGAACTTTAACCGGGTCAAGAACATAAACCTGAACCGTAACGGGAATCAAAACCCTTACTCTAATCGATTGGTCGGATTGTAGAGCTCGATACTGCTAACCCGAGAGCCTCAAGTTTGAATCTAGGGCTAGAGTGTATACGATGTCCAGCTGTGATTCAGACTAACTTTATGGAAAATTCTGCGGCTGGATATAGTGCTGACCAGTGGATATAGTGCTGACCAGTGGATATAGTGCTGACCAGTGGATATAGTGCTGACCAGTGGATATAGTGCTGACCAGTGGATATAGTGCTGACCAGTGGATATAGTGCTGACCAGTGGATATAGTGCTGACCAGCTGAGGTCATCGAAACAAATGACCACAACCTTATCTGCTCTTTTATCTTGGACACAATCTGGAAAACGTGATGATTAACCCTTATCCTAACTCTAATCCTAACACTAACCTAACCTAAACACTAACCGTAACACTAGCCCTAAGCCAGTAATGTTTTTTTTTTTCATCATGCGCAATTATGTTAGTCCAATTAGCTTTTTACAATCATATACAAAGTATAGAGGAAGTATTGTAACCGTGACCAAAACTTAATATATAACTAGTATATCAAATTAGTAGTTCCATTGTAATGATTTCAAGTAAACGGATTCTAACGATTTTAAGTAAACGGAAGTGGTACTTACTCTACTTCCTGTTTCTCAAAAGCCTATATCTTAAGCACCGTTTAAATTTGATTTTTAAATATAATCTATATATATATATAATTCTCTTCTTGGAGACGCTAGAAAACACCAAGTTGTAAGCGCGCTCCCTACCACCCCACCCTTACATGGTCTGATGAGCTGTGGTTCACGCTAAATGTTTACAATCGTGGAGCCGGGTTTAGTGACAGCTATTAGGGGCAGATAATTTAGTTTGAAACGATTTTAAACTTAGGGGAGGTAACTAAGATGAGGCTGCTTTCAAGGGGGTTGTTCCGCCCCTGGTGACGCCCCTTGTGACGTAGAGGAATAATGTCAACTTATACAGAAAAACAACAATATGGCTTAACCAAACAAACCAAAAATGATAGTTTAAAAAAAAAATGAAATGCTTTTAAAAATCACAATAAATAATTGAGTATCTTTGTTAAACTATTTTAGTCCTTTAATATAAATCTTTGCTTTTTAGATTCACTGATAATCTAATTCGAGAATACAAGGAATTTATCAATATATAGAGCTACGGATAAACTAGACTTAATCTAGCCGTAGATTGTAGATATAGATCTATCTAGATTCTAGATCTAGACCAATAATGAGTTTCTAAACTATTTCTGGCCTAAACTATTTGGGTGAATATTTACAAGGTAGTTACATTGATGTACAGAGTATAGTGAGTACATAGCGAAATAGGTAAATGATTTCATAAGATTTATCGAATTTAAAGCTCTTTGGTTCGAAAATCGGACAGAGGCTGGTTAGGAACATTTTTGCCAACAAAAATGGGTGGAAAAGTGTAACATATGGAGGAATAGTAAAAAACAAAGCTGGTTTGAATGGATTGCATCCTATTGTGTACAATAAACATAGTAAATACAAAAGAAAAATGAACACAAACGAATCGAAACTGTTGGGGTTGGTGTGGGGAAAATTTCACTTTTTTTTCTGTTTTTATGTAACTTATGTACACAAAGGAAACAAAGGCTGGTTGAAAAAAAAGTACAGAATACATGGTGTGTACTCTCACCCTATGACAAAATAAAAAGTTTATACAATAATACAATTCCAAAACAAAAATCAACCAAAAACGTGCCATTCTATCAGAATGTTGTACTGTATTGGTGGGGTGGACGGGGTCATAGCGGCATGGGTTGAAAGGGGTGGGGATAGGTTGATGCCGCGGCTATTCGGGTATTCCCTAAATATTAGGTCCAAAGTCTGTCTGGAGTAGTCGTACACAAGAGGAGGATACATAGGTAGCCGAGCGAAGGAAGTTGTTGTGGGGAATTTCTATATTCACATAAGATATCTAGAGTATCCGCTTAGTAATGTACATTTGAATGCTTTACATTCTTATAGTGGTATATATATACTAACAACTACTAAAATAACCGTGACTGGCAACATCAATCAATTAATGCAATTACAATGTTAAAAATAACAAACCCATGTATAAAGTAAAGGAATTTGACATTACTAACAGCATAAAATTAATACAAGAATACACTTTGTAAAAGACTGTGCCATTCTCGAAAAAGGGTGCATAGTAGATTTTAAAGGGTCTTCTGTTTTATGATGTCGGTCAACTCAGTTCCAACTGTGTCTCTGTATGTTGGCGTATGTAGCGAACGGACCAAAGGGAAGCATGTAGTATAAAAACTCGACTTCATCGACATAGTATAATAGCTTTAAAGCGTTTATTATCTAAATAAATGATTTTTTAAAAAATTATTTGGATTATTTTGTAAATAAGTTTCATTTTCCAAACTATCCATTTTAATTTACGTTACGTGGAATCAGCAAAATCAAAGAAAATGTAATGCAATTCACACAAATTTAAATTGTGTTTGAAAAAAGTGTACTATTTTTTTCCCTTTGTTTCTTTAGTATCAATTACTTTCCTTGCAAGATCACACAAAAAAATACTTTCCTTAAAAATACATTGCAACAGAAAAAAATACTTTTCATTATTTTGTTTTTATGTTGGAAAAAACACATTTATATAATTAGCATGGATTGATAAAGTACAATGTTGTAGCCTAAACATGGATTTTTCAAATACAGCCTTTTATATATTTTATACATTGAACGTACTGTTTACTAATTATTATTTAAAATCAATAACAGTTTAGAAGCCAGCTCCTAAATGTTCTTTTTGTTTACTTCTATCTTTCCGTCTGCGGACATTTGTTTTTGAGTTTGTGTTTTGGTTTTGTTTGATTGTGGTCAGTGTTAAATTTAAAGTTAGGGTTTAAGTGTTTTTTTGTCAAACATCCATGCTTAATAAACACACAAGTCGTTGTCCTGTACAGATAAGTTTTTCACAGAGGCTAGGGCAGGGTCTGGCTGGAACGGCTGGTTCAATATAAATAATATTCGCGTAATTTAACGTTATTATAAACAAATTATAAGTAAATTAATCCAATAAATTAGCACTTAATTTTATGTGTCCAGCTGGCTATAATAGTTACCATGCGGGTGGTACGGGTTCGTGACACATCATTTTAAATGTGTTTTTTTCATTTTTATTATTCTTTTCATTGTAGATTTGAATTATACAGTCGCCGATGGGGACTTGCATGGACACGGGGCAGGTGAAGTATAGTTGACCTGTGCCCTCAGCATTTAAAACGATAGGTTGGCCAGACTCATGCTCAGCTGAGTATTAGAGTATACTAGCGATCCCGTCCCGTGCGTTGCTGCGGGCTGATGCAATACTTTACGATGATTACACTCACTTGTGTATTATACGTGTGCTATTATTTTTTTAAACTGAGTTAAAGAAAGCTGGCTCTGTATTTGTTGAATCGGAGCTGTTATGGTGCTTGTTTGTCCGATGTTATGACGCTTGTTTGTCCACTGTTATGACGCTTGTTTGTCCACTGTTATGACGCTTGTTTGTCCACTGTTATGGTGCTTGTTTGTCCACCGTTATGACGCTTGTTTGTCCACCGTTATGACGCTTGTTTGTCCACTGTTATGACGCTTGTTTGTCCACTGTTATGACGCTTGTTTGTCCACTGTTATGACGCTTGTTTGTCCACTGTTATGACGCTTGTTTGTCCACTGTTATGGCGCTTGTTTGTCCACTGTTATGGCGCTTGTTTGTCCGATGTTATGACGCTTGTTTGTCCACTGTTATGACGCTTGTTTGTCCACTGTTATGGCACTTGTTTGTCCACTGTTATGGCGCTTGTTTGTCCACTGTTATGACGCTTGTTTGTCCACTGTTATGACGCTTGTTTGTCCACGCTACCGCCCAGATGCCCTTGGGTGACCGCCCATGTATCATGGACATCGCGGTCGGTTACACTACCTCAGGGGCGCCGGGTACGGCCCCTGGTTACACTACCTCAGGGGCGCCGGGTACGGCCCCTGGTTACACTACCTCAGGGGCGCCGGGTACGGCCCCTGGTTACAGTACCTCAGGGGCGCCCTGGTTTAGCTAAATCATTGGTTGGCATGCGCCAACGTGTGCCCATTGTATTTAGATGTTTGAAATCAAGCTGGTAGAAGAACTGGTCAGTACTGAGACGACATACACGTACACAATCAGGTACACAATCAGGTACACAATCAGGTACACAATCAGGTACACAATCAGGTACACAATCAGGTACACAATCAGGTACACAATCAGGTACAAACTGGATTGGCACAATTCAACGAACGAGGATTGAATAGGCAGGATCGGGATAAGATACCAACTACATACACGTACACAATCAGGTACAAACTGGATTGGCACAATTCAACGAACGAGGATTGAATAGGCAGGATCGGGATAAGATACAAACTACATTCACCCCCCCCCCCGCCCTATTCACCCCTCTCACTCATGCACTACCCCCAACGCTAACTCAAAAATTATACAAACGAAAAACCTTTAACTAAATTAACAATGGCGGCTAAATTATAGTGAATTATATCATGAAAGCTAATAACTAGCAAATTAAGTATTAACATTTATTTTCATGTATGTGTGAGAGAATTAGGCCTATATGTGGTAGAAGTTTTGGAGATGTGTGCATGGTCAAAGTATTTATAGTGATGTATGTGTGGAAGAAGAATAAGCGGTAGAGGTATGAGTGGGAAAACCGTGTGGGGGATAAGTATGTGTGGGATAATTGTGTTGGGTATAAGCTTGTTTGGGAGAAGTGTATGTGGTAGAGGAAGATGTGGATGATGTGTGTGTGGAAAAATGTGTGGGGGGATAAGTGTGTGGTGTAGAATATATGTGGTAGAAGTGTGTCTGGGAGAAGTATGTGTGGGAGAAGATGTGTGGGAGATGTGTATGTTGTAGAAGTGTGTGGGAGGAATGTGTGTGGGAGGAATGTCTGGGAGAAGTATGTGTGGGAGAAGATGTGTGGGAGATGTGTATGTTGTAGAAGTGTGTGTTGTAGAACTGTGTGTGGGAGGAATGTGTGGGAGAAGATGTGTGGGAGATGTGTATGTTGTAGAACTGTGTGGGAGGAGTATATGAAATAGGTGCTCAACTGTTTTCTAAATGAAATGTACTGGATTCATTTGTTACCGGCTTATTTTCAGGCAAGGACAAAAAGACACATTCATAAACCATTGCTTTTTATTTAATCAACAGCAAAAATAAAAAGAATTAATACGTTCAATAAAAATAATGGATGAAAGATCGCTCTTCAAACTAGAGGGTAGCTGGCCAATGTGGCAACACCGCACAAGTTATCTTGATTCCTGGCAATACGAATGTAGCCTTTGTCGCCCCATGCCGGACCCCAGCTGAAATTTAAAAAAGTTCAATTAAACAAGACTGGCCACACAGTATGTTCAAGACTGGCCACACATTTTGTAAAATCAGGCCACCCATTCCATAAATTCTGGCCAGCAGTTCGTATAAAATTGGCCACCCAAGCTAACAAATATAACAATCCCGACACAACAAAAACTGAACACAAGTGCGGATACAATACATAAAACACAAGTACTATACATAAATCACAAGCACAATACATAAATCACAAGTACAATACATAAATCACAAATACAATACATAAATCACAAGAACAATACAAACATCACATCAAAACTATACATTCAGTGGCGAAAGAAGAAAAATACGTCTATATGTGTGTGTAATTGCTAATCAAATAGTCACTAACAATGTGTTAAACGAATTTAGAACACAAAAATATATGTCTGTAGTAGGCCTATCCAATTTCACCTGTTTTTGATAATCCAATAATCCGTTCCATTCTCTGTACCATAGCCGACAGCGAGAACTGCATGATCTAAAACCTCTGAACTACATTGATCGTCGTTGTACACCCCAGACTTGTAGCGCTGCGAAATAAATTGGTCATGAACTTTCTTCTGACTAGTGCCTCTCCTCAAATACTTTAGAATGTATTTATGTACTTTCCATGAAATAAACAGATGCATACCTTTACTTTGTACATTTCTAAGTATGGCACTATGGAAGCGGGATTAATCCAGATCTAATCTTCTCATATTATGTCTGTCAATGTGTTTGGGTTGTCTAAATGTGTGGGAGAAATGTGTGGGAGAAATGTGTGGGAGAAATGTGTGGGAGCGATGTGATGTAACTTACGTGGAAAGATCCTAGACCAGCATCAATGGCGACACTAATTGGTCCTATGGTAGCCAACGCCTGCTTTAAAGCTTCCTCACTGCCAGACTGGATGTCAACAAATCCAGTATCAGTAGCCCCAACATCCGACTGATTATACAGGCACTTGGCACCATTCTAACAAATACATTCATTATGTCAGACTGATTATACAGGCACTTGGCACCATTCTAACAAATACATTCATTATGTCAGACTGATTATACAGGCACTTGGCACCATTCTAACAAATACATTCATTATGTCAGACTGATTATACAGGCACTTGGCACCATTCTAACAAATACATTCATTATGTCAGACTGATTATACAGGCACTTGGCACCATTCTAACAAATACATTCATTATGTCAGACTGATTATACAGGCACTTGGCACCATTCTAACAAATACATTCATTACGTCAGACTGATTATACAGGCACTTGGCACCATTCTAACAAATACATTCATTATGTCAGACTGATTATACAGGCACTTGGCACCATTCTAACAAATACATTCATTATGTCAGACTGATTATACAGGCACTTGGCACCATTCTAACAAATACATTCATTACGTCAGACTGATTATACAGGCACTTGGCACCATTCTAACAAATACATTCATTATGTCAGACTGATTATACAGGCACTTGGCACCATTCTAACAAATACATTCATTATGTCAGACTGATTATACAGGCACTTGGCACCATTCTAACAAATACATTCATTACGTCAGACTGATTATACAGGCACTTGACACCATTCTAACAAATACATTCATTACGTCAGACTTATTATACAGGCACTTGGCACCATTCTAACAAATACATTCATTACGTCAGACTGATTATACAGGCACTTGGCACCATTCTAACAAATGCATTCATTACGTCAGACTGATTATACAGGCACTTGGCACCATTCTAACAAATACATTCATTACGTCAGACTGCTCCTTTCATGTAAACAAATGGATGCATGAAATCAACGAACCCCCTCCCCCATGCTTAAGCCGATTATAAAATGGTGCACGCTACTCTAAGAGCAAATACTTTTAAAAATCTTGGATCTAAAAATCTATGTAGGGGCTTAGAACTGACCTTTGCTTTGTAGGGATAGGATTCCTCTGTGTCAATGCCATTGTTCTCGTGAATGTAAGTAAATGAAGGGTCCATTAGTCCACCGTCACAGCCTTTGTTACCTAAGACAGATTAATTAATTGCTGTGTTAAGAGTTACAGTAAGACTAATTTATTCATTGCTTCGTTACCAGTTACTAGAAGACAAATTAATTAATTGCTGTGTTACCAGTTACAATTAGACAGATTAATTAATTGCTTTTGTTATCTATTGCGGTAGGATAAATTGCATTGTGAAAATCTAGTTTAGCTATACTGAAAAAGTTAAAGTTAGGTACAGCTATGCACGATAAATATATAACAATTTGACAAATTCGATGCAAGTAAAATCACAGTATGTGGTGTTTATTATGGTTCCAAAATCTATAGTGATGACGGACGGACTGACTGACACACTACTTAGCCGCTTATATTATAGATTCTCTATACTGTGTATACGAAAAGGTAAAAACGAAATTAAATGATGCGCATTAATGACAAAGTATTGCGCATGTGAGCAATTAAATGTTGTTGATAATAAAAAGTGGTTGCTACATAATCAAAAGTAATACAAATGTTTTACAATAACCCTAATTCTGCATCGTGATCGCTTAGTCGCACATCATTCAACACAAATAATGTGAAATTTGGATTCTGTCAGGACCGTTTGTTCATGTACCACAGTAAACACAGCACGAAATAAACCGGGAGTGATCTCTCCTAAACTTTCTCGAATATTCTTATATAAAACAACAGGGGATGGGAACTCGGGCTATAGACATGATTTTTAATCCATTTTAAATACTTAAAGTTTTAAAAATAGAATAAAATCTCGTAGACAAAAGAATTGCACACCAAGTGAACGCCAAATAAAAAAGTGCATAATAGTGCGCAATATTATAAGTACTTTAAAAATTTACATTAGTTTTTTGAGAAATTGGAAGTAGCGTAAATTACTACTTCCGGTCAACGGAAATTACTCAAAATTTAACAGAAGGTAGAAAATTAGATCTTTTACTCACATGTGAAATTTCATTAATCTATCTGAAATAGTACTCAAGTTATAGGCTTTTGAAAAATTCAAAGTAGAAAAAGTACCACTTCCAGTTATCGGAAATCACTCAAAAGTTGATACGGATCTACGATTTTGATAAAATACTCATATATGAAATTTCTTCAACCTAGCTGTAACGGTACTCAAGTAATCGTGTTTACACACACAGAGACAGACACACAGACATACGGATAGGATTGCAAAGCCCAGTTTTTCAGAATGGATTACGCATAAAACCTCTTAATTTTGATAAATCTGGATTGATAATTTTTGCCCGATTAAAATAACTCCTCTATACTTCGGATGTGATGAAGGACTGAGGTGTAATACGGTGAAAATTGTTAAAATTTCAAGAGATTTTTTTGCACGATTACAATACTATCTCTATACTTTGAATATACGAGAAAGTAAAAAGAAGAAATAGACCAATAAATATAAATAAACCGGGAGTGATCTCCCCTAAACTTTCTCGCATATTCTTATACTAGGCATGCTGCCCAGCTTCGCTTAGGCTTTCAAAAACATTGAGAATTTGAATGCTTAATTAATTCGCCCGAAGGTCGGTCTACGACCTCAGGAGTTACGAAGAGGTTCCTACGTGGACATTTTTTTTCGATTAAAACTCATATAAGGCGCCGGTCAAGCGAGGTCTATTTTGACCCCCTCATCGTAGACCTTTAAGCCAACCGGCACCGGCCCCCGTGTTCTGTCGCCCCAAGGCAAGATCCTGCCAAATTTGAAGCACATGCGGCGCCGGGAAGTGCCCGGCACATTGCATAGATAAACAAAGATTTCCAAAGTAGTTCCTTTCTTTATGGCCTAAAATGGGAAGATTCACATATTAAAAGGGGTCGGCGTGGTCGATTCGGTAAAGCTCACGGTTGCTAAACCGAAAAGTCTCGAGTTCGAACCCTCGGGCAGATGAGGCTCGTTAGCTGGGGACAGCCACTCTTCTAGGAGAGACAACTCCAAAATTAAACAACTGCTGCCTTGTAGTTTGTTGGTTGGACAAAGGCTATGGAAGCAAATCCAAAAATAAAAGCAGGCTGAAATCGGAGTCAATGACCTCAATGGTGCATAACCAGTTGACACGTAACGCTTAATTGTGTTGGAGACGTGGTCGAGTCGGCAAAAAGCTCATGGTTGATAAATTCGAACAGTTTCAAGTTCAACCCCACTGGCAGATAAATCTCGATCCCCTTTTTGCCGACTCGACCACGCCTCCAACAAATTTCTACATTCAAATACGCCTTTATTTTTTATTTTTCTTCTTTAAATAAAATTGTGGTTATACATTTAAAACATCTAACATATTATTTTCAACAAAAGTCCGTATAAAGTTCTTCATATATCGCTGCAGTTTCTGATGTGATGTCCGGCGAAAATATTTTGCGGACAGAGAGAGAGAGAGAGAGAGAGAGAGAGAGAGAAATAGACCAATAAATATAAATAAACCGGGAGTGATCTCCCCTAAACTTTCTCGCATATTCTTATACTAGGCATGCTGCCCAGCTTCGCTTAGGCTTTCAAAAACATTGAGAATTTGAATGCTTAATTAATTCGCCCGAAGGTCGGTCTACGACCTCAGGAGTTACGAAGAGGTTCCTACGTGGACATTTTTTTTTCGATTAAAACTCATATAAGGCGCCGGTCAAGCGAGGTCTATTTTGACCCCCTCATCGTAGACCTTTAAGCCAACCGGCACCGGCCCCCGTGTTCTGTCGCCCCAAGGCAAGATCCTGCCAAATTTGAAGCACATGCATGTGGGCCATTATATATTAGGATAACACTACAGAGGATGGCAACTCGAGATATAGACATGATTTTTAATGAATTTTTATTTATTTAAACTTTTTAAAATAGAGTAGAATCTAGTAGAAAAAAAGAATTGCGCACCAAGTGAACGCCAAACAATCTGTGTATAATAGTAGGGAATATTATTAGTACTTTATAAATTCACATGCGTATTTTGAGAAATTGGAAATAGCGTAAACTACTACTTCCGGTGAACAAAAATTACTCAAAATTTATCAGAAGGTAGAAAATTAGATCTTTTACTTATTTGCGAAATTCAGTTTATCTATATTAAAAAGTACTCAAGTTATAGGCTTTAAAAAAAAAAACTAAAAGTAGAATATGACCCACTCTCGGTTATCGGATATCGCTGAAAAGTTTATACAGAACTACAGATTTGATATAATACTTATTTGTGAAATTTCATCAACCTAGCTGTAACGGTACTCAAGTTATCGTGTTTACACACACACATACACACACACGGAGAGAATTGCAAAGCCAAGATTTTCTGACTCGAATACGCATAAAACACCGAAATTTTGATACATCTGGATTTAGATTTTTTGCCCGATAAACTTAAAGGATTTACCAGTAAGACGGCTTAATAAATAGAAGGCTCAATATGCAATTAAATTAATTTACATAATACCCCTGATGTCATTAATTACTTTACATAAGACCCCTGATGCCATTAATTACTTTACATAAGACCCCTGATGCCATTAAATTAATTTACATAAGACCCCTGATGCTATTACTTTACAGAAGACCCCCAAATAACATGAAGTCACTTTACCGTAAGCCCGTGAACAATCGATCAACTGCTGTTCAGAAAGGGAAACTAGTTTGCCTGTCTTCTTGAAATGCTGGCCCTCGAGTGCACCAGTGCTAGAAAAAGCCCAACAAGAACCACAGTCGCCCTGAGTGGATGAATAGAATCGTCAGTAAGATGGCCATGGCTAATGGTAAATAGACATTTAGTTGGCCATGACTAATGGTAAATAGACATTTAGTTGGCCATGACTAATGGTAAATAGACATTTAGTTGGCCATGACTAATGGTAAATATACATTTAGTTGGCCATGGCTAATGGTAAATAGACATTTAGTTGGCCATGGCTAATGGTAAATAGACATTTAGTTGGCCATGACTAATGGTAAATAGACATTTAGTTGGCCATGACTAATGGTAAATAGACATTTAGTTGGCCATGACTAATGGTAAATAGACATTTAGTTGGCCATGGCTAATGGTAAATAGACATTTAGTTGGCCATGGCTAATGGTAAATAGACATTTAGTTGGCCATGACTAATAGATGACGAGATCCTCTTGGTTAAGTGTAAATAGATATTTAAAAGCCCATGGCTAAAAGTAAATAGATGTTGAGATAGCTATGGTTAGGTGTAAATTGATGATGGCCATTCCTAGTTGTAGTTTGATGATGTTGATATTGGTGTCGATGATGTTGATGGATGTTGGTGTCGATGATGTTGATATTGGTGTCGATGATGTTGATGATGATGTTGATGATGTTGATATTGGTGTCGATGTTGTTGATATTGGTGTCGATGATGTTGATATTGGTGTCGATGATGTTAATGATGTTAATATTGGTGTCGATGATGTTGATGATGTTAATATTGGTGTCGATGATGTTGATGATGATGTTGATGATGTTGATATTGGTGTCGATGATGTTGATATTGTTGTCGATGATGTTGATATTGGTGTCGATGATGTTGATGATGTTAATATTGGTGTCGATGATGTTGATGATGATGTTGATATTGGTGTCAATAATGTTGATATTGGTGTCGATAATGTTGATATTGGTGTCGATGATGTTGATGTTGTTAATATTGGTGTCGATGATGTTGATGATGATGTTGATGATGTTGATATTGGTGTCGATGATGTTGACATTGGTATTGACCTGATCTTTGACTGGTGTGACATAACCTTTGACCCTCCAGTCTACCGAATCTGGAACTGAGACTGCTGTGGGTATGTACTGGAGACTGCTTGGCCTTTTGTCTTGAGACCGGAACCCGTTCATTGTCTGCTTGAATTCTGCTGTTGTCTAAATACGTATGTCAAACAATAGAAAGAAGTTCCTTACACAGTTCACATTTCAGGCATTAGTGGCATTCAAGTATATGATTTTACATGTAAACACATTCAATGATTGTTCGACATGAAATGAATGAAAGGTGACAAACGACTGACCATGACAGTCGTAACAGAAAGGTGACAAACGACTGACCATGACAGTCGTAACAGAAAGTTGACAAACGACTGACCATGTCAGTCGTAACAGAAAGGTGACAAACGACTGACCATGACAGTCGTAACAGAAAGGTGACAAACTACTGACCATGACAGTCGTAACAGAAAGGTGACAAACGACTGACCATGACAGTCATAACAGAAAGGTGACAAACTACTGACCATGTCAGAGAACCTATTCTCTCCCATCCAGTAGCTGTGAAGTCCCCTGTCCGCAAGGATATTGTGTCTCTCAATCAACTCGATGTTCGCTTCCCAAATCTCACGTCTGCAAATAAATTAATGGAGCTATAGGTTTGTGTTTGTGTTAGCCTATGAGGCTACTAGGAACAGCTCTACTATACAACGACTGGGAAATATATCTAGTTATTGTCTACAGCATCCTGTATTTAAAATCTCTGCAGGTGTTTACATTTATCCTGTACTAGCCGTCCCGGCCAGGCCCTGCTCTGGCTAGTGTGAAAAACCTTTCTGTTAAAGACCATTACCTGTGTGTTTAGTAATCATCATAAACCCGGCATTGCCCACCCAAACCACAACCAACCTAAACAACAAAACGCAAACATAACGCTAAGACAATTACAAATACAAACGAAAACAAAAACCTAACAACAAACCTATACACAATCACAAACACCAATACAAACACAAAGAAAAAACAAACAAAAAAGCAAACGAAAACAAAAACCTAACAACAAACCCAACTACAACCACAAACACAATACGAACACAAAGAAAACAACAAACGAAAAAACAAACGAAAACAAACCAAATCCAAACGCAAAACCAACCACAAACACAAACCCAAAGAAAAAAAAAACAAACGAAAAAGCAAACGAAAACAAACCAAATCCAAACGCAAAACCAACCACAAACACAAATACAAACCCAAAGAAAAAAACACAAACGTAAACGAAAACGAAAAAAGAAAGAACAAAAACGAACCAAATCAAAACCACTAACGCAAACCCAACTTAAACACAAAGATAACACAAACGCGAACATAAACGCAAAGTGCTCACAGTCTAGCCCGGGGCAGAATCGCCTGTTTCAGCTTAATAATCAGCTTAATAATCGACTAAAGTACCCCAACTTATTCATACTCTTTTGCACTCACTTAAACGAACGTAGGTGCCAAACCAAACCAAATGAACAATTATAATACTCCAAGCTTATTCTTAAAATATCTTCAACATTTGCACTTGATCAATCCCCGCTAATTATGTAATTAATTTTTTCCTAACACCAAAACAAAGTAATAAAAAGTAAATTCTTTTCCACTAATGCAATGTTCTATAAAGGGAAGTAATTGTGTTTTCCTAATTTATCAAAGGGAAGTAAGTGCTAAAGGACTAAATATAAATTATTTTCAGACATAATTAGAATTTTTGTTATTTTTAAAAAAAATATGTTTAATGAACATGCCGACAATTATTACTATCAGTTTGAAAAATGAAAATTATTTCCCAACACTTTCAATAGTATTTTTTAACTCATAAATTTAGACTATGAGCACGATAATAGTCTAACACTTAAATCCATGGAAGTATGTCAACGACAAACAAACTTATTTTTACATACATAATTGAGCTTTATATATTAGATTTAAAATCTCTACAGGTGCTTACAATTATCCTGTATTTAAAATCTCTACAGGTGCTTACATCTATCCTGTATTTAAAATCACTACAGGTCATCAATTTAGCCATCAATGAAGTCATCAATGTAGTCATCAATGAAGCCATCAATGAAGCCATCAATGAAGTCATCAATGAAGTCATCAATGAAGCCATCAATGAAGTCATCAATGAAGTCATTATTTAAGCAAACAATGTAGTCATCAATGAAGCCATCAATGAAGTCATCAATGAAGTCATCAATGAAGCCATCAATGAAGTCATTATTTAAGGCAACAATGTAGTCATCAATGAAGTCATCAATGAAGCCACCAATGAAGCCACCAATGAAGCGATCAATGAAGTCATTATTTAAGCAAACAATGTAGTCATCAATGAAGCCATCAATGAAGCCATCAATGAAGTCATTATTTAAGCAAACAATGTAGTCATCAATGAAGCCATCAATGAAGCCATCAATGAAGTCATCAATTTAGCCATCAATGTAGTCATCAATGAAGTCATTAATGAAGCCATCAATGAAGTCAATTAAGAAGAAAACAAACCTAATGAGCTCCATCCGGCTGGAATATGACTTGTTGTATCTCATCTTGTAGCTGAGCCAAAGGTCATTTAGCTCGTGATTCAGTGAATGGACACACGTCAGTAGAGCAGCACACAACACAAGGCTGTACATCTGGGAAAGATAAACCCAAGTGTCATCACATTCATACAACTAGTTTAATGAGACCAACATAAGTAGTGAAACAGTTTACTGAGACCACCATAAGTAGTGAAACAGTTTACTGAGATCACCATAAGTAGTGAAACAGTTTACTGAGACCACCATAAGTAGTGAAACAGTTTACTGAGACCACCATAAGTAGTGAAACAGTTTGAGACCACCATAAGTAATGAAACAGTTTATTGAGACCAACATAAGTAATGAAACAGTTTGCTGAGACCACCATAAGTAGTGAAACAGTTTACGGAGACCACCATAAGTAGTGAAACAGTTTGAGACCACCATAAGTAGTGAAACAGTTTACGGAGACCACCATAAGTAGTGAAACAGTTTACGGAGACCACCATAAGTAGTGAAACAGTTTGAGACCACCATAAGTAGTGAAACAGTTTGCTGAGACCACCATAAGTAGTGAAACAGTTTACTGAGACCAACATAAGTAGTGAAACAGTTTGCTGAGACCACCATAAGTAGTAAAACAGTTTACTGAGACCACCATAAGTAGTAAAACAGTTTACTGAGACCACCATAAGTAGTAAAACAGTTTACTGAGACAACCATAAGTAGTGAAACAGTTTGAGACCAGCATAAGTTGTGAAACAGTTTGAGACAACCATAAGTAATGAAACAGTTTATTGAGACCACCATAAGTAGTGAAACAGTTTGCTGAGACCACCATAAGTAGTGAAACAGTTTACTGAGACAACCATAAGTAGTGAAACAGTTTATTGAGACCACCATAAGTAGTGAAACAGTTTACTGAGACCAACATAAGTACTGAAACAGTTTGAGACCACCATAAGTAGTGAAACAGTTTACTGAGACCAACATAAGTACTGAAACAGTTTGAGACCACCATAAGTAGTGAAACAGTTTACTGAGACCAACATAAGTAGTGAAACAGTTTACTGAGACCAACATAAGTACTGAGACAGTTTGAGACCACCATAAGTAGTGAAACAGTTTACTGAGACCAACATAAGTACTGAAACAGTTTGAGACCACCATAAGTGATCTACAATGTACAACAGATTAACGTAAGTAACCAACTATACATAAATGATTGCGTGAAGCATCTTACCTTGCCTGTTTAGATCAAATCGTATGCCCATTGTAAGGCCAAACGTCAGCCTTTTATAAGCTAATAGTCACGTGACTGTGAGCTTTACCTGGGTTGGTCAAGGGGCTCAGACGATGACAAAACCTAATCACGTGACACGATGACCAGGCCGTCACATGAGACGAACAAGTCACCTGGTGTTGTGTCATGGCTAGACACGTGGTCAGTTCTTGTCTATTGTCTGTCGACTGTAGGCCCTCGGGGTAGATTAAAGTTTCAAGCACTCAAACAAACTGAGGGTCAGTTTATCTCACAAATTAAACATGTCTAGTCTGACCTAGAACTAAATATTTTCCTGTGCTATTTACTGCGTGGTCTGTTTGAAATTTAAGTATAAGGTATATTGATTTTAGTTAATGGTCATTGTTTTGCCTAAGGATAATGGTCAGTGTTTTATCTAAGGATAATGGTCAGTGTTTTTCTACATTTCTTTCCCTATTACAAAGGTCAGAACTACTAGCAAGCGCTAACTAAATGCGTGAACGTGTCACATCTACTACCGACCTCCCCCACTCCCCACTTCTCCACAAATGTACACAGGTTAGACATTTAAACAACCTAAACCCCATCCAATGTGTACACACGACAGACAGCAAACACCTCCCCTCCAATGTGTACACACGACAGACAGCAAACACCTCCCCTCCAATGTGTACACACGACACACGACAGACACCAAACACCTCCCCTCCAATGTGTACACACGACAGACAGCAAACACCTCCCCTCCAATGTGTACACACGACAGACAGCAAACACCTCCCCTCCAATGTGTACACACGACACACGACAGACAGCAAACACCTCCCATCCAATGTGTACACACGAAAGACAGCAAACACCTCCCCTCCAATGTGTACACACGACACACGACAGACAGCAAACACCTCCCCTCCAATGTGTACACACGACACACGACAGACAGAAAACACCTCCCCTCCAATGTGTACACACGAAAGACAGCAAACACATCCCCTCCAATGTGTACACACGACAGACAGCAAACACCTCCCTGTGTACACACAACAGACAGCAAACACCTCCCCTCCAATGTGTACACACGACAGACAGCAAACACCTCCCTGTGTACACACAACAGACAGCAAACACCTCCCCTCCAATGTGTACACACGACACACGACAGACAGCAAACACCTCCCTGTGTACACACAACAGACAGCAAACACCTCCCCTCCAATGTGTACACACGACAGACAGCAAACACCTCCCTGTGTACACACAACAGACAGCAAACACCTCCCCTCCAATGTGTACACACGACAGACAGCAAACACCTCCCCTCCAATGTGTACACACGACAGACAGCAAACACCTCCCTGTGTACACACAACAGACAGCAAACACCTCCCCTCCAATGTGTACACACGACAGACAGCAAACACCTTCCTGTGTACACACGACAGACAGCAAACACCTCCCCTCCAATGTGTACACACGACACACGACAGACAGCAAACACCTCCCTGTGTACACACGACAGACAGCAAACACCTCCCTGTGTACACACGACAGACAGCAAACACCTCCCCTCCAATGTGTACACACGACACACGACAGACAGCAAACACCTCCCCTCCAATGTGTACACACGACACACGACAGACAGCAAACACCTCCCCTCCAATGTGTACACACGACAGACAGCAAACACCTCCCCTCCAATGTGTACACACGACAGACAGCAAACACCTCCCTGTGTACACACAACAGACAGCAAACACCTCCCTGTGTACACACAACAGACAGCAAACACCTCCCCTCCAATGTGTACACACGACACACGACAGACAGCAAACACCTCCCCTCCAATGTGTACACACGACAGACAGCAAACACCTCCCCTCCAATGTGTACACACGACACACGACAGACAGCAAACACCTCCCCTCCAATGTGTACACACGACACACGACAGACAGCAAACACCTCCCTGTGTACATACAACAGACAGCAAACACCTCCCCTCCAATGTGTACACACGACACACAACAGACAGCAAACACCTCCCCTCCAATGTGTACACACGACAGACAGCAAACACCTCCCTGTGTACACACGACAGACAGCAAACACCTCCCCTCCAATGTGTACACACGACACACGACAGACACCAAACACCTCCCCTCCAATGTGTACACACGACAGACAGCAAACACCTCCCTGTGTACACACGACAGACAGCAAACACCTCCCCTCCAATGTGTACACACGACACACGACAGACAGCAAACACCTCCCCTCCAATGTGTACACACGACAGACAGCAAACAACCCCCCTCCAATGTGTACACACGACAGACAGCAAACACCTCCCCTCCAATGTGTACACACGACACACGACAGACAGCAAACACCCCCCTCCAATGTGTACACACGACAGACAGCAAACACCTCCCTGTGTACACACGACAGACAGCAAACACCTCCCCTCCAATGTGTACACACGACACACGACAGACAGCAAACACCTCCCCTCCAATGTGTACACACGACAGACAGCAAACACCTCCCCTCCAATGTGTACACACGACAGACAGCAAACACCCCCCCTCCAATGTGTACACACGACAGACAGCAAACACCTCCCCTCCAATGTGTACACACGACACACGACAGACAGCAAACACCTCCCTGTGTACACACAACAGACAGCAAACACCTCCCCTCCAATGTGTACACACAACAGACAGCAAACACCTCCCCTCCAATGTGTACACACGACAGACAGCAAACACCTCCCCTCCAATGTGTACACACGACAGACAGCAAACACCTCCCCTCCAATGTGTACACACGACACACGACAGACAGCAAACACCTCCCCTCCAATGTGTACACACGACAGACAGCAAACACCTCCCCTCCAATGTGTACACACGACAGACAGCAAACACCTCCCCTCCAATGTGTACACACGACACACGACAGACAGCAAACACCCCCCTCCAATGTGTACACACGACAGACAGCAAACACCTCCCTGTGTACACACGACAGACAGCAAACACCTCCCCTCCAATGTGTACACACGACACACGACAGACAGCAAACACCTCCCCTCCAATGTGTACACACGACAGACAGCAAACACCTCCCTGTGTACACACGACAGACACTAAACACCTCCCCTCCAATGTGTACACACGACAGACAGCAAACACCTCCCTGTGTACACACGACAGACACTAAACACCTCCCCTCCAATGTGTACACACGACAGACAGCAAACACCTCCCTGTGTACACACGACAGACACTAAACACCTCCCCTCCAATGTGTACACACGACAGACAGCAAACACCTCCCCTCCAATGTGTACACACGACAGACAGCAAACACCTCCCCTCCAATGTGTACACACGACACACGACAGACAGCAAACACCTCCCCTCCAATGTGTACACACGACACACGACAGACAGCAAACACCTCCCCTCCAATGTGTACACACGACAGACACCAAACACCTCCCCTCCAATGTGTACACACGACAGACAGCAAACACCTCCCTGTGTACACACGACAGACAGCAAACACCTCCCCTCCAATGTGTACACACGACACACGACAGACACTAAACACCTCCCCTCCAATGTGTACACACGACAGACAGCAAACACCTCCCCTCCAATGTGTACACACGACAGACAGCAAACACCTCCCCTCCAATGTGTACACACGACACACGACAGACAGCAAACACCTCCCCTCCAATGTGTACACACGACAGACAGCAAACACCTCCCCTCCAATGTGTACACACGACACACGACAGACAGCAAACACCTCCCCTCCAATGTGTACACACGACAGACAGCAAACACCTCCCCTCCAATGTGTACACACGACAGACAGCAAACACCCCCCCTCCAATGTGTACACACGACACACGACAGACAGCAAACACCTCCCCTCCAATGTGTACACACGACACACGACAGACAGCAAACACCTCCCTGTGTACACACAACAGACAGCAAACACCTCCCCTCCAATGTGTACACACGACAGACAGCAAACACCTCCCCTCCAATGTGTACACACGACAGACAGCAAACACCTCCCCTCCAATGTGTACACACGACAGACAGCAAACACCTCCCCTCCAATGTGTACACACGACACACGACAGACAGCAAACACCTCCCCTCCAATGTGTACACACGACAGACACCAAACACCTCCCCTCCAATGTGTACACACGACACACGACAGACAGCAAACACCTCCCCTCCAATGTGTACACACGACAGACAGCAAACACCTCCCCTCCAATGTGTACACACGACAGACAGCAAACACCTCCCCTCCAATGTGTACACACGACACACGACAGACAGCAAACACCCCCCTCCAATGTGTACACACGACAGACAGCAAACACCTCCCTGTGTACACACGACAGACAGCAAACACCTCCCCTCCAATGTGTACACACGACACACGACAGACACTAAACACCTCCCCTCCAATGTGTACACACGACAGACAGCAAACACCTCCCCTCCAATGTGTACACACGACAGACAGCAAACACCTCCCCTCCAATGTGTACACACGACACACGACAGACAGCAAACACCTCCCCTCCAATGTGTACACACGACACACGACAGACACCAAACACCTCCCCTCCAATGTGTACACACGACAGACAGCAAACACCTCCCCTCCAATGTGTACACACGACAGACAGCAAACACCTCCCCTCCAATGTGTACACACGACACACGACAGACAGCAAACACCTCCCCTCCAATGTGTACACACGACAGACACCAAACACCTCCCCTCCAATGTGTACACACGACAGACAGCAAACACCTCCCTGTGTACACACGACAGACAGCAAACACCTCCCTGTGTACACACGACAGACAGCAAACACCTCCCTGTGTACACACGACAGACACCAAACACCTCCCCTCCAATGTGTACACACGACAGACAGCAAACACCTCCCTGTGTACACACGACAGACAGC